ATTTTGTAAGTTTTGTTCAAATAGAATAAAGTGTCTTGAAGAAATGTTGCCTTGGAAATTTGAGACATGGCAAATGGATGGTAAATTAGAAGCTCTGCGTAGAAGGGCCAAATAAGATGTATTTAGCCCTCCTGCTAAAAAGCAATTTGGCATTATTCCAAGTCACACTGATTGTAAGTACATGCTCTTCTAGACTTCACAAGAAAACATTCCCAAAATTCTCTCCCCAAATATGCATTTCTGGAACAAAAATAGGTCTGAACAATTTTTAAAAATCAGTTTATAATTATAGTTATGTTGTGAATGTTTTATTTCTCCAATGCTATCCATAGCATTAACCTTGGCCCATTTTTTTCCTTCCTCTTTTACTCTTTCTTTGTCTTCTTTATAACAACAAGACCAATTTTGAAAAGAATTTGCCATCATTTATAATAAGAATATAAGAAAAATGAGGAAAAATGCTATTGCTTCCATATAAACATAAGCACCAGAATGGAATCCTATGTCAAGGGTTCTCCTCTAGGCATGGACTGGTTTTATGATCAAGCAGCCAAATTTCATGTTGCTTTGTCTGAATTCAGCTGGAGGTAGTCATGATGGCCATGGTGTCAGAGAAACTAAGATCATCACCAAGGGAGGCCTTTGCTTTGGCCTTTGGTTTAGATCCTTTGAGAAACAAAATTATCTTGGGATACTTTTATAAATAGAAAGAAATATACACTATGGAAAAACAATATCAGAGAAAATGAAAAGGGTTTTCATATCTTACTGCCTCCTATGACTCTGGTAAAAATTGATTAAATAGCTTGGACTCACTGTCTTTAAACAAATTCCCAAGATCACCCTTTCCCAACCCTTAATGGCATTTTAGGTCCCATAGATTTTCGAGAATGTTCTCATTTTCAGGTTTTAGAGTCTAAATCAAAACATAAATCTCACATTCAGTTAAAAGCTTCTTTCTTCTATCTGAGCTGATATAGAGGTTTGGGAGCAGCAAGGAAGAAAGTAGAGGTCAATTCTTTCAATGTCGTACCACATCTCATTTTCTTTTTAGTGTTATAAGATCATTAAGTTGAAGGGGCAGGAGAAATTAAAAGAAAAAGGCCAACATCATGTTTGGTGCTGTTGTAATTTGGTCATTAGTACCTTTGTTAGAGAAGGAGTCTAAACATTGGCTGTTTCTTGTTTTCCAGAATCCGGAAGTTATCTGCACTTTATTCTTTTGTAAGGGAAAAGCACTTAACTGCTAAACACCTCTCAGCTCTTAACCCACTGTATAACATCCATAGCTATTTTTTCTACCCGGGATTCTTGGAACTGATCAGTTAGATCATGGCTGATCTAACAGGACCTATGATGGTAAAATAGCCCACATGCAAAACTCTCACTTCCCAGGAGGAACACACATCGATCAAGCTGCCAGATAATCTTTGTATTTCCAGCAGTATACAGTAGGCTGGCAGTAAATATTTACTGAATGAATAAGATGCTTTGTATTTACAAATGCCAGAATACCGTTATGTTACTCATTATCTCATTGTCATCTAACAATAGTAAATGAATCCTTGTGTGTAGAAAACTATATTATAAAGGCAGAGGCAAGAGATGCAGAAATTTAATAATGAGAAAACTTAAATTTGGTGTTGAGAAAGCAATTGAGGCAGTTGATGTTAGAAGAAAAACGTTACCTGGAGGAGCAAAAGTCAGTGATGTGTTTGGGATTTGTGCAAGTAGCTGAGTTGGTACCAAGTCATGAAGGGTGCAGGGAATTTAGGCATATGGTTAAAGAGAGAATACAGAAAAAATAAAAGGAAATGGCATCAGCAGATGTGAGGAGCACTTATCCTATGCATTGATATATCCTATGCAAATTTAAATATTCTATACATGGATGTTTAGTAAAAGGTGAAAGATTTATATGACCTAAAGAGTAACTAGAGTATGAATGGATATTCAGGAAACAATGAAGAGATATATCTGATGCAAACAGTCATTTATATAGGAGATTTTGGGGACTTAAAGCTGGGCAGATGGATCAGAGTCAGGCCTTGACACCTTGAATACCAGGCTCAGAAAGAGGCAAAAAGATGCAACTGAAGTTTTGAACCCATGTATTTTGCATTGTAGGAGTGGGGGTGAGGAAGAGAGTATCACCCAGTGAATCAAATCTGTGGTGTCTGATTAGAAACAGACCCCCATGCCAGGTGCCACTAGGAATTTACCATTGTTGCCTGTGCATCTCCTCCATCACAAGACAGGTTTTAAGATCATGGAGTGTTATATAAAGGGTTAAGGGTCTACTTTCCAGTTGCCAATGATTTGGAGTTATACATGGTATGCGTGCATGTGTGTGTGTGTGTGTGTGTGTGTGTATATACAGTGTATAGACTCCACACTCATAGGGCTCCTCTTAAATTCACTGCTATCTCTCTGCTCTCTGATGTGAGTTATCAGGCAACATATTTTATGCTGGGCATAATGGGTATTATATAGGGTAGTGTCTCTATAACTTGGACAAAACAGGTCTATTAGCCCTTTGGTGTTTTACTTTTTTATCAGCAAACAGAAGCTATCAAAAGAATTCCCTTTCTTCTTAGTTACAACCTCTCTGACATTTTTTCTTAATAATCTCCTTTTTATCACCTGTATCTTTACAAATTAAAACTCTTTGCTTCCTTTAAACTTATCCCATGTGGTTTTCTCTCCTTTTTAGTGGTGTGAATTTCAGTAAATAATCTTTCTTTCTTAAGTTTGTTTTCCATCTAGTCTGGATTGGGCAATCTTGACCAGGCGTTTCTGTTTAAAATGAGATATTGTATGTAAAATCGCTTTGTGAACTAGTAGATGACACAAATATGTAGGGTAATTATTTCTGCTTCTTTCTTTAATTTTTTCTAATTTCTGGATCCTTTCAACTGCTTCTAACACCCTCACCTCATGCATATCATACATAAGTTTTCTATTGCACTTTATTATAAAGAAGACAATGAAAATATTAAAAATATTTAACAGCTTCTGAATTGTATCTATGCACTGTGTGTGATATCGGGGGAAAGGGGGTTCTATTTTTTCCTGTTCTCTATTTACATACATATGAAAATAATGGTCCCTGTTTTCCCCAACTATCTGAGGCTTCAGAAACTGCAAGACCCCTTCTGGATATAGATACTAATGACAAGTAGCAACAATGCATATTTCACTGGCTTTTGCCCAAACTTTTCCAGCAGGATCCCAAACCCATGCAACGCACTTCCCCACCATTCTCTTTCCTAGGAGTCCCTGGTCAGGTCAAATGATATCAACATGTACCTTTGTCTCCCATTCTTTTTGCTCAGGGTCACTTAGGACTCCGCTTCCCAAACATGAAAGCATCTATCAGTTTCCAAGCCACCTTATACTGCAGTCCAGCTGCTGCAGTTCAGGAGATGTCACACTGTAGAGTGCTGCTGTAAGGTGTGATTGTACAGCTCATGCTCCTTTCTATACAATAGTAGATTGCTGCAGAGATGTGCCAGATGGCACACAGTCTTTGGCAAAACCTTTGTGAGTTGAATGTGGAAACAAATCAAGAGTGATCAAACTGAGGTCAAATCAGAATATCCATCCCTTTGCAAGGACCAAGACTTTCTTCACAACCAAACTTGACTTTTCTGCATCTTTTTTTCTGTATGGTGGTTTGCTTTGAGGAGATGTTTCAGTCCTCTAGCAGGAGAACCAGAAGTTCATTTTATCAGACATACTCAATATGTATAAAAGGTGGAAAAATTACATTCTCCACCTTTGGCACCAGAATGTTGTAAGAGATAATTATCTTCAGAAAAAAAAATAACCTTGATAAGTGCCTGGGGTAGGTATATAGAAGCTGAGACTGAAATACCTGGAAATTGATCCTTATCAAGATATTTGCTTGCTAGTAGGTGAGGGTGGTGAAAGGGAAAGAAATAAGGAGAGAAGCTATGGGGAAAAGGTGAGACCAGACATTGCAAAGGTGTGAAAGAACCTGCTGGACTGGGGAGATGGAAAGCATTCATTAAAAAATGGTAATGTTTTATTGGTGATTTTAAAATTGATTACTGCATAGTTCTCATATTTTTATTCATTTGGGAAGGACTTTGGACAGTCATAGAGCACAAAATTAAAAAGTATAGAAAATTTAAACCAATGTCATTCAGATATTGGGAAGCTCTTTTTTATGTATGGCAAAAATCCGCAGTTATGTTTCAATATGGGAAAGTGAATCTTTCTAGAAATTTTACTCTAACTATAGTAAAATAGTCAATTATCAAGCCACTATAAATTATGTTATTGACAATCAAATCATAAATATTTGGAGAGTTATTAAATATGAGTCTAACTTGGGTAAATGGTCTGTGATTTGGAGGAAGAATATAATGTCTTGGCAGATTAAATTAATGAAGAGTACAAATTTTAGTTGAGTTTTAAAAAATGAAGTCACAGTATTTGGAAGAGAAACAAATACAGGATTTGTGTCATTGGATAAAGTTCCAGAAATGTGAAAGCGTGTGAGAGAATGCTACCTCAATGGCAAGACTAAAACTGGAAAAGTGAATTAAGGGGTGAGCACAGGGAGTATTCAGTACATGGGCAATAAATTCTTGTGGGAAAGGAATTCATATTACAGTATAAAATAATTAGTAGTCATGACAAGGATAAAATAATGGGTGAAAATCATGACACCATGATTTTGACGGTTAAGTACAGAATGTATTGGAAGTGAGATTCCAGAGTTGGTAAACACTAAGGAGAATAAGGAGACAGAGAGAAAGCCAGGACCAACCCGGGGCTTGTGGAAGGGAAAGAAATAAATGGAACATAGTACAGACCAGGTTAAACATTTAGAGATAGATAGCAGAGGGGATGAAAGGGAATAAGGCTCACATTAATGATGTTTCATTGTTACATAGCGATGCTGGTTATTAGTGTTAATTTATACCAGTGCAAACTTCTATTTTCCCAGGAGTCTTGTTGTAACTTGTGCCTCAGGCAGACTCTCGGCCCCAGAACTTTATTTTTAGAGCCTTTTTCAGTGTAGGGCTGCTCAGTGTCAGTGAAGTGGAATGAATAGACACTATTGCATAGATGATGACCTCCCAGGCCCAGCACCAATGTCCTTTCTTAGATTTCATGTCTGCAAAGGTGAGTACTATCATTAGAAAGTAAGCAGTGAACAAGATAAAGAAGATAGCAAGAGACCTCAGGGCACTGGAGTGAGCTTTCAGGCTGGAGTTAGAGAGGCTAGTGTTATGCTGTTGCATTTGCTTCCAGTGCTGGATCAGACAGGCCATCAGGATGATGGTGGAAACCAGGAACAGGAGAAAGGGAATAGTCAACACAACTATTTTATGAGCCTTGGAAAAATTCTGCTCAAACATTTTAAGTTTCTCAATCAAAGTGCTGTTTGTAGGTGAATGCTCCATGATGGTCAATTCTAACTGGATGTGAGTCCTAATAGCTGAAGGGATAACTGCCACACAAGAAATCACCACAGCACTCAGTAATAACCAGGGAACTAACCTCAAAATTCTCCACCTCAGCCAGAAGAAGATGGGATGGGTGATGCAAGAGACCTTGACGCAGTAGAAGACAGCAAGCAAGCTGGCGAACAAGAATGTAAGGACATTAGTGAATTCCCAGATGATTTCTGTGTTCCATAGCACACAATTAAGTTTAAAATAGAAGCAAAAATTGGACAGTACTGATGACCACTGTTGACAGAAACGACAGATGCCCAGGCAGATGAGAATCATTTCTGCAGGTGACAATCTTTTGACCAGCACCCACTCTCTGCCCAGAATTGCAAGAGTAAAGCTGCTCTGTGCAATTATTGTCAAGGACTCAAACACATAGATGATGATAAAAAAGACAGTGAGTTGATTGAGTACCATGCTTCTATTCCAAAGTATGTTTCTGGACAAGAATCAGAAGCTCTGTACCAATCTGTAGGTAGGAAACAGGTTTCTGTTCCCACCACTGTCTGGTAAATGAAAGCTCATCCCTCTGGATGCAAATGTTCTCCAGCTCAATTTTTACTCTCATTTTCCTGTCTATAGGATTTGGTTATGCTTTGCTTGATGGTTTGTTGCTACATCTGGAAGAAGAAAAATATTTTTTGAATGTGGATTTTCACTCCTAAGATAATTTGATTATTTTCATAAAGGCATACTTCTGTCATAACCATGGTGGGTATTTCCTTTTTATCTGTCTGAGGTACTCTTAGTTTATTTCCCCATCTTCTTTAAATAATATTTTCTTATTTAACCTAAAATTAGAGCCACAGTAAAGACAAATCCTTCGCTTTCTGTTCATGTTCTGGGCATGTTTCCAAACTTCTGAATGCTAACCTCAGAAAGCCCTGTGTAACCAGCTTTCTCAGCAGCTGCTAGTGGATGCTATGACCGAAGTGTGAAGGTAAATGAAAATGATAATAGTCTTTCCTCTGAGATTCCACACAAAAAAGGGCTGGAATCTAAGACAAGTATCCTTATCCAACATAACCCACTAATAATCATCCACTGAATTCTGCAATTTAGAGAAATCAAACTCCAAAGAAATCACTGAACACTCTTCCTTGAAGACAAACTGTCTGTAGATACTATTTTTTTGCCAATTTAAATGCCTTGAGCATATGCTCTATATATTTTTGGAAATTGTTTTTGTTCTATCAGCATCACTGGTTTTTTTCCTCTCCTTTCATGGCTTGGTTGCTTTTATCATTTCTCACAGGTGAATTGAAAGAGAGCCCTCTTAGTACTAGTAAAACACTTTACTTCTAAACAGTAGCCATTGTTTCATAGCTATACAGGCAGTTTAGAGAAGGAACAGAAGAACCTTTTTCTTTGGTTCAGGACAACTATTCCAAATAGTAAATATCTAATTAGTGGATTCAGAAATGAGAGGTAAATTCTAGTAATTATTACCTGGTGAGGGAGACAAAGTAAAAAATATCGACCATATGTATGATAAATTCCAATCCTGTGTGGACATTTAATCATTCAAAGAGGTAAAAATAGGGGCAATCTAACAGGAAGATTAGAATTCTTAAAAATAAAACTGAAAAAACCTCTGAATCCATGGCGCAAAGGAAAACAATAGCTTTAAAAATTCCACTCGGAAACAGAATTAAAATTAGAAAGCATCTACTTTGCATTCTTAATAAAATTCAAGAAACAGAAAATAAAAAAAAGAGACAATGAAATAGTAGTCTGTGATCAAAAGACTAATTGGTTGAGATTTATCGAGACATAAGAAGGAATGAAATATAAAATATTGTTTAGTAAAATATGCAGTGATAGCATAAATGTCTGCCTCCTGTTCCGTGTACACTACAAAGACTGTCTCATTCAGAGGAAACTTGGAATGACTGTGAACTCAGGACTGGATGCTAGCCATCACTTCGACCAGGAATGAGTGTCTGTCTCAAACAGCTCCCCATAGGCTGGGCTACAGCTGGAGAGATGAACTGGCACCACTCCAACATACAGGAAGGCGGTGGCCATTAAATAACCCAGATACTCTTTTAGGAAGTTTGAATGTGGGATGCACAAATCAGCCTAGAGCCTGGGACTGGGTGTTCTCTGAGGCTAGGAATTCAAGCACATCTCTTCTATTGTGTGTCCCTTTGAATCCTCCAGAGCCATCTCTGCAGACTCCCCCCAAAGTGACCCCAATTCTGGCTTGCCCTTTTCTGCTCTTCTTCAGCTTCTACCCCTAGCCTTTGCTCTTGTCAGCCTGGAAATGGTTACCCATTAGCCAGTGATGGCTGGTCAGGCATTGGGAAGATGACTGAAGCCCTGCTACTTTATGCTGAGCACACTTAAAACTACGGTGAACCCAGGCTTTCTTGCCAGACAAAAGGGTGGGAGGGTGGGCTGTCCAGGCTGAGTGCTATATTCACTTTGTCATTGCACCATTTCTCTTTCTCCTTCCCAGGCACCAGACAGGTGTGAAGGCCCCATGTTTATTTCCCAACCCAAAGGTTGCTTGGGAACAGAAATATCAGTCTCTCCTCTTGGACGTTACTATCTTCACTGTTAGAGGAGTAGTCTCTTCCTCATTTCTGGTGTCCCTGAGCATATTCTTAGTCTCTTCTACTACTTTATTTACTTTCCCCTGGGGGTGCCACACTAATTTTTCTTATTTGAAAATCTGATAGGAGTTATTTGTCTAATTATGGATTTTACTTTTACTAAGAAAACTTTATACACACATAATTTGAGATACTAGTCTTTTTTGGTGATATATATTATATGTGTGTATATG